TGTAGAAACATGTGTCTTCTTCGTGAGCTTCCACTTTGAACAGAAGCACAATCACTTTGAAAAGCTTCCCATTAGATAAAAAAAAAATTAGCCATCCCCCTGAAAACACCCGAATCATTACCCCTACGTTACAGGGGGGTGTTACAGAAAAATATATAAAACACGAGGAGCGACTCGAGAAATCAGCGCCGCAAAATTTTTTATTTTATTGATATTCTCTTCTCTTTGGAAAGAAAGCATTAATTCAAATGAAATCCTGACTGTGGTGGGCCTTATCCAGATGACAGCAATTATTGCCCGAAATGCGGAAGAAGACTATTGAGCACAGGGTGTATAACATTTAAATGTATAATTTTATTTCAAATTGCACCAACATTTCCCCTTCTCTGTCAAATTTAATTTTCTTATGCAAATTTAAAATATTTTAAATATTTTAAATATTGGTTGTTAAAAGGCTTTTCTACTTTGAATTTCCACACTATTAAGTCAAAATGTACAATTGTGTTTTAAGGGTTTGCCAGTTAGGGTTAGGGCTTTGATGGGTTGATTAATTCTTTAGGTTTGTGAAGTACTAGCTGTATATTTTTTGTGCAGCAGGTTTTTTTTTAACGTGCAGTTCTACACAAAATGTGCAGTTCTAAATCAATTTGTGCAATTCTAAAACAAAAACTGTGCAGTTGAAAAAAATATTGGCGACCTTTCAATATCTAAATACAAATGGATTACATACAGCTTCAATAACATAAGCAGTATACCAGAATATTTATTTCAGTTTTTATAGTAAATTTTGGCAATAACGAAAATGTTTTCATTTTTTTCTTTGCTTTTTAACCTACAAAATTCTCTTCGGTTTTCGAAACTTCCAAAAATATTCCCTCCCATGAATGATTTATAACACTGAATCTACAAATTTAATCTGCAAATGCAAGATGTGCAGTTCTAAATTTTTCTTAAAAAAAACCCTGTTGTGCAGGTGATGAATCTAGTGATGAAAAGCAACTTATTCTGCACTACTTCAATTGTGACTTTGCCTATGAAGTCATAGTTGATTTCATGTGTAAATATCATGGTGTGTCACTGAGTTTAAGTACTCTCAAAAGACGGCTTAAGGAGTATGGTTTGAGGAAAAGAAATTGTGAAGTGGACGAGGAGAATGTTCGGCAATTGGTAAAATTAAAGATGGCCCATGCTGGAGAACAGTCTGGGTATCGGACAATATGGCACACTATCAGGCTTGTTCATAAAATTCATGCACCAAGGAAAATGGTTGCAGATATACTCAGGGAATTGAATCCCGAGGCAAGTCTAGCACGCCGATCACGAAGACTGAAAAGGCGAAATTACTTATCCCCTGATCCTAATTATTGCTGGCATGTAGATGGTAAAGCTATTTTAATTTTTGAATAGAAAGTTGTTTTTTTATACATTGGCAATTAAGACATTTATTATGGATAATTTTATGACTTCTTTATGACTTCTTTATAAAGCATGTACTCCTAAGTATTTACCATTAATTTTATTGACATACATATAGGGTATGATAAGTTGAAACCATTTGGTTTCCCCATCCATTCTGCCATTGATGGCTATAGCCGAAAGGTATTGTGGCTGGAAGTAGTGCAGTCAAATAATTGTCAAACTGTGCCAGGAAAGCTCTACCTGAACACTGTGAAGGAATTGAAGGGTTGTCCAGTTCTCTTGCGAACAGACTGTGGAACTGAAAATGGAGTGATGGCAGCAATGCAATGTTACTTTCGTGCTAATGGACCAGATCAACTAGCTGGGGAGAATTCGCATAAGTATGGGACATCCACCCGAAACCAAAGAATTGAAAATTTCTGGTCACACTTTAGGAGAATGAGATCTCATTGGTGGATCAATTTTTTTAAAGATATGCACAGCTCTGGTGTCTTTGATGATAGCAACAAGCTAATGAAAGAATGTCTTTGGTTTTCTTTCTACCCAGTTCTGAATGAGGATCTTCAAAAATTTATGGCATCTTGGAACTCTTACCATATCAGACCATCAAGGCATGATTGTGTTTCTGGTTCTCCAGATATTCTTTATCATTTACCTGAACGGTCAGGTGGAGTTGACAATTTGCAACAAGTTTCAGATGCCAAATTAGTGGAAATGGATGAGCAACATGTGGTGGATGATAATGAAGAGAACCATTACCAGGAATATTTTCATTATGTTATGGATAAAGAAGAGATGCAATATCCAACAAATTCAGAGGAGGCATTCAATGTCTACCAGCAACTTATGAACAAAGCAGTATGATATCAGTGTTAGGATTTTCTGCAAAAGGTGATATTTACATGTATACAATGCCAGCTTATTGCATTCAGTGTAATATTAGAAAATTAGCATTGGAAAACATACACACATGATTCAATGGGCCTTATGTGCAATTAATTAATCTTTCATCTATGGGTATACTAAAATTAGTTAAAAATTAGTTAGTCTATATAGCACATTAGGTCCATTCCAGTGTGCCACTGTAGTTATTTCAACATAAACAATAAATCAACATCAAGTTTTAAATAACTTTTAAACAAATTAAGTTTAGAGACTTGGAGTACTTGTATTAGGAATTTTTGCTTTTCTTACATTATGTATATCCAGATTATAGATTTCCAAAGCCAACCCCTTCTACCACAGCACAGTTTAGAAGCATGTTAAAATCTTCTTGCCCATGGCAGTGGATAGGAAATGTAATGCTCAGATCACATGTAGAACTTGTTGGTCTGCATCTGCATGTTTGTGAACAACCATACTTAAATTTCACTTTTATGCCATTTGGGAGACCAAGAGGAGGGACAGATTTCGATCCGGTGATGAACTTTGACAATTTCTCCAGTGAACCTGAATTATCTACAATTCAAGTACATATGATAACCAATTGAGGAATTAGAATCATGAGCTCATGAAATGAATTAAGAGATACTTTTGATATGTATTTCAAATGCGCTTAAATATTTTAATTATTGAACAATGTAAATACTCACCAGGGCTTTCACAATCCTCAACATAGTCGTTAAAGTACTTGTAAATATTTACTTCAAGTTCCTTGTTGTTTGAACCTGATTCACTGAATTCACCACTCATGGATTCCAGAAATAAGTCTGCTGTGATGGAGAAAACAGTTGACTTGGCAAACACCGGCTCTAGTAGATTGAAATTTGTCTTTATGCTCTCGAGTACGCCAAATATACGCAATCCATCAATAACTTGGTTCAGCATTGGCATTTTTGGGCAGAACTCGAACAGAACGATAGATCTAGAAATGGTAAATTTGGGAACTGTGAGTTGTCAGTAAACATGGTCATTACAATTAATGTACATAGGCATAGAAAGTACCTAATTATGGAGTCTCTTGAGGCCAGTGATTCACGAGAAGGAACTCCTCTATAACCAATCTTCTCTAGGACATCCAAAAGTTCATCAGAGACAAGAACTTTTTTAAATGCCTCTTCATTTTCACATTGCTGTAACTGCAATATAGCATTTTAAATTTTAAATACAGAATTTTAATTAAAACCACTGTTTTTTACTATGCACATACTCTAGAAGACAATTTGCTTTATGTCTTTCTTTTTATTCTACCTCTTTCACAGCTTTCTTCAGGTGCAAGTCTTCCACAATATCTTCTGCATTGTCAGCTTTAACGCTCCCTACACCATTTACAATGTATGCGTATGTGGACTTGTTGAACAGAGTTGGTGCAGGTCCACCTTGAACGACTGAAGAAGCCATTATCTCTCCTGCAACTCGATACTCTTCATTTGAAAGAGCAGCCATGTTCACACATGGGGAACCATCACTAAAAAGTTTTCTGCCAACTTGTTCCAATGCCTCTGGAATGTAGAAAATTAATTGAAATTGTACCGGTAGTTTACATAGGTATCCCGGCTGAAAATAACTTAGTTTGTACTTAATAATCATTTCATACTATGTATATACAGTATTATATCACTCATATGCTTTGTTCAATGCTATCTGGAAGTATACTGTATTGCACAACAAGCATACATAAATATGGTATAGTACCTGAAAAGAATTCTCTGCGAGGTCCTCCGTCATCTACTGCTGGTTCTCCAATAAACGTTACCTTAAGCTTGGCATTCTCATAAAATCGCTTTCTTTGTATTAACCTCTGACGCGCTGACAAGTAATCCTGAAAAGCATATCTTCGCCTAATTGACACTCTATTTGCAACTGATTGGTCAACCTTTTGGTGAAGATTAGACACAACCTCTTTAATCTTTGTAACTGTAGAAACCAGATGTTGTTGAACATCATCAACTATTGGAAATTCTGTCTCCAGACTTTCATACTCATCCTCCCTACAAGGTAGTTCCAACTCCAATATGTCATCATGTACAGTGCCAACTGGGTCAAACCCTTGAGCGCAAATATCAGCATGCATTTCGATTTCGTTAACTGGGAAAGACAAATAACACAATGGGCACATCGACTTAATCTCTTTCACTTCATCTTAGTTCACTTCATCTCGGTTCACTTCATCTAGGTTCACTTTATCTGGGTTCACTTTCTTGTCATCTTGGTCATCAACATTTAAACAAAATGGGCGAATGGATTGAGTATTTTTAGAAACACTGCTGTGGCAATGTCTATTGCTGGTACTGGATTCTTCATCATCTAGATCATACAACTCATCATCTGAGTTATATTCTGTGAGTGATTTACCCAAACACTCCTGTTGGTAACTTGCGTGGGCCCACCCTAAAATCGGGTTAACTTTTGGGCGGGAAGCACATGTTTAGAGAAGTAAAAAAAAACGAATGTGGATGTGAGTCGAAGCGAGTGGCTATCGAATTTATGTGATTAAATGGTTATTGTATTTGTTATCTGTTGTGGAAAATTATTGCGGAGGCAGTGAAAGGTAATTTTCTACAAGTGGCACCTCTGCGACGAAATTTTAACCAGACTTTAAGCGAATTCAAGCGAGAGTACAAAGTGAAAATTTGAGAAACATGGAAGCGAAGAAATTAGACACGAAGTTGAAACAATTAAAGCTTACTATAGATCGAACAGGTACGATTATCGAATCGAATCAACAAGATGCAATCGAGAGACATTGTGTTACTATCAAATCTATAACAAATAGCATAAACGAAATGCGAGTAACCGTCGAAGAGAGTAAAATACAAGCTGATATAGACATGGCGGAAATTACAACGTGGAATGCAGAAATCGACAACAAATTGGCAGAATCGGATAAAGTCGTTGAAGAACTAAGAACATGGCTTGATCAGCGTCGAAAAGAGAAGGATAACGTCGCGAGAGAAGAACAAATTCAGTTTGAAACAATGCTTTTCAAAACGAGAATGGAATTTGAAACGAAGTTAGCAAGTGCGAAAGTGGAAACACTGACAGTAAACAAAGAAGAAAATTCGCAAGGTGAGTCGCAACCAAGTGTATCAGCTAAACTACCAAAGTTAGTTATATCAAAATTTGGTGGAGATTTTCAAGATTGGCCCAGATTCTGGGGACAGTTTTTAGAAACGATCGATAAAGCTAGTATGCCCCCCATCACGAAATTTACTTACCTCTGTGAGTTACTTGATCCCAAGATAAAGCATACTATTGATTCATTACCCTTCACCACTGAGGGCTACAACAGGGCAAAAGCTATCCTGAAGGATCGCTATGGAAAAGAATCGGAAATTATTAAGTCTTACACCAAGGATATAATGGATTTGCCATATATTCACGGTACAAACCCCAAGAAAATTAAAGATTTTAGCGAGCGTCTCAACCATTGTGTGCAAGCATTGCAAACAATGAACAAACTGGATCAGGTTAATGGGAATGTCGCGATGACATTGGACAAACTTCCTGGGATTAGAGGACACCTTGTAAGAACAGACCCTGAGTGGGACAGATGGACCTTTTCCCAGTTAGCAGAAGCAGTTCGTCAGTGGAGTCTAAGAAACCCTGTGGATCAAAGTCGTACAGATCGGGATAAGGATCGACAAACCAAATCGTTCCATGCCAAGTCACGTGAATGCGTTTATTGTGGTGATGTAACTCATAAAGCAGGAAATTGCACCAAGATTACTAATGTGACCGAACGGAGACATATTCTGGCACAAAAACGATTATGCTTCAATTGTGCAATTGGAACCCATCGTGCAGCAGAGTGTTCCAGCAAGAGATCCTGTCAAAACTATGGAAAGCGACACCACACTTCTATCTGTGACGCACCAAAAGGAGAAGAAAAGGAGCATCTTATGACTACAAACCAGTCAAACGAAAGTGTGCTGCCTGTTATTGTCATCAAGGTGAACGGGGTGAAGTGTAGAGCATTAATCGATACAGGATCTGGGAGCTCATATATTTCAGCAAAACTCGTAGAAGTACTGAAAGTGAAACCTATTTCGACACAAACAAGGCAAGTTGAAATGCTTATGTCATCAAAGAGCGTACGCATGGACATATACGAATTGAACACTGAATCCGTCAGCGAACAGTACCAAATGCCAGTGAAGTTCATCAAAGTCAATAAACCAGAACTTCTCACTGTTGAAAACCCAAATTATGCAGACCTCATACGAGACAACACCTATCTGTCAGAGGTGGTAATCACAGACAAGGACACCAAGAGTCAACTTCCTGTGCATGTTATCCTTGGGAGTGGCGAATACGCACGCATAAAGACGGAGACGAAACCTTGTGTGGGAAAGGAAGGAGGTCCAGTGGCGGAGTTGACAAAGATGGGATGGTTCATAATGAGCCCTGGAACAGAATTCGACCGGAAGCGAATGCTGTTGACGCAAACGTCACAAACCGATTATGAAGGTTTATGTCGAATGGACATTCTTGGACTTGCAGATACGACTGAGAATGACCAAAGTATCGTACATGCTGAGTTCAAGGAGCAACTTCATCGCGACAAGGAAGGCTGGTATGAGACGGGGTTGCCCTGGCGAGCTAATCACCCGGATTTGCCAAGTAACGAAACGGGAAGCTTGCAGCGATTGAACAAACTTGAGAAGAATTTAGAGCGAAAAGATTTAACAGCAGCGTATGATGAAGTTATTGAGAATCAAATTAAAGAAAATATCGTTGAGAAAGCTCCTGTCAAAGCCTCGGGTCAAGAGTTTTATATTCCGCATAAACCGGTTGTGCGAGAAACGGCATCATCGACAAAATTACGAGTTGTTTATGACGCGTCGGCACGGGCGTCCCCTGATTCCCCATCCCTCAACGAATGCCTTAACCCAGGACCACCACTTCTCAATCGACTATGCGATGTTCTAGTTCGACAACGTGTGTATCCAGTAGCATTAACGGGAGACATTCGCCAAGCATTCTTACAAATACATGTACGCGAAAGCGAACGAGATGCCTTGAGATTTCACTGGCGGTCAGGTGAAGGAAATGAAATTGAAACGTACAGGTTTACACGCGTTTTGTTTGGTCTTTCCCCTTCTCCATTTCTCCTGAATGGTGTTCTTGAAGCTCATCTTGATACATGGGAAAAGAGGTGTCCAGACGTTGTAGCTGAATTGAGAAAGAGTCTATATGTTGATGACCTTCTGTCTGGTGGACAAACAACTGAACAAGCACAACACACGAAAGAAACGGCCAGCGAGATACTTCAAGACGCCACATTTCAGTTACATAAGTGGAACTCAAATGTTCCTGAACTAGAAGACAAGCCCACAGCACAAACCGAAGACGAGCAAACGTACGCGAAGCAACAATTGAATGTAAGCCAACAAGATCCAAAGATGCTCGGGTTAAAGTGGAACAAGAAACAAGACCTTTTGAGTGTAGTAATCCCCAAAGATAAGGCTCAGCCAACAAAACGTGGAGTACTCGGGAAGTTAGCAAGAATTTACGACCCTTTAGGACTTATAGCACTAGTGACACTCGAAGGCAAACAGATTTACCGAGAAATTTGTGAATCTCAAAAGTCTTGGGATGCCCCGTTAAACGAGAATCTTCAACAACGGTGGAAGAAATGGGAAGAAAAAACGCTCGAGGAATATTCAGTACCACGTTCAATCACTCGTTATCAGGAAGAAATTGACGCCGTAGAACTACATGCATTCAGTGATGCTTCTATCAAAGGAGTTGGAGCCGCTGTTTATTCGGTCGTTCATCAATCGTCGGGGTCCACTCAACAACTTGTAGCAGCTAAAGGTCGTCTTGCCAAGAAAAACTTAACAATACCTAGACTCGAACTTGTTGGCGCACATATGGCTACTAACCTGCTCATCAATGTACGAAACGCTCTTGATAACATCCCAACACCACAACTATTTGGATGGATTGACAGTACAGTCGCCCTACATTGGCTTAAAGGGAACGGTCAGTATAAACAATTTGTTGCGAACAGGGTGGCCAAGATACAGTTACACAAAGATATTCATTGGAGATATGTTCCCACAGGGGAGAACCCCGCTGACCTGGCGAGCAGGGGTGGTCAAATCAAGCCAGAAGCACTTTGGAAGAATGGTCCGAAATGGCTTCAAGACGAGCGTGGGTGGCCCGACAATCCAGTAACGAAACCTTCACCATCCTCAGAGGCGGAGGCAAAAGCAACAAAGGAACTGTTAAATATCGTAAATTTTAGCGACGATGACGACGAATTCGATCGATTACTGGAACGTTCAACGTTAAGACGTGCATGTAGAGTCGGGGTGTTGATCAAGAGGTTCATACACAAGGTCAAAGGTAATGACAAAAGGTCCGGCCCAATTACGACGGAAGAAGTAATCAGTGAACGCGACTGGTGGATTCGCCGTGTTCAACAACGAGTACAGAAAGAACCGCAGTATCCTAAGTTGGTTGAAGAGTTAGGATTACGTGCTAATGCAGACAACATTTTGGTATGCCACGGGAGAATTCAAGGACAATATCCAATATTCCTTCCAGGAGACGCGAAGTTTACAGAGAAGTTAGTACAACGAGTACACAGCGAAACGCTGCATGGGGGAGTGAACTTAACTATGGCTGCAGTTAGGGAACATTTCTGGGTACCTAGATTGCGAAACTTAGTCAAGATCGTTCGTAGCAACTGTTATGGATGTAAAAGATTCCGCGTGTCATCTATCCCCAAGCCAGTACCAGGTCAATTGCCAGAAGAACGAACCAGGGTTGGAGGAGCCTTTGAAGTCATTGGTACGGACTTCGCTGGCCCTATCAGATACAAGAAGAAAGGCAACAAGGAAGGAAAGGCGTATTTGGCTATATTTGCATGTAGTCTCTCTCGAGCTGTGCATTTAGAGTTATTACCGAATATGGAAACGGAAACGTTCATACCGTGCCTCAAGCGATTTATTGCGCGTCGTGGAAGGCCACGTATAATTTATTCGGACAACGGTGGAACATTTGTTAAAGCTGCAAAGTGGATTTCACAGCTAAGAAAGGACGAGCGACTTCGAGGTCTTCTAGAACAGTACGAGATAATGTGGAGGTTCAATTTAAGTCGTGCCCCATGGTGGGGCGGACAGTTTGAAAGACTTATCGCTATTGTTAAGTCCGCTATGTACAAAGTCATTGGGAATGGTGTTCTTACGTGGACGGAGCTTAGTGAAGTGTTGTTGGATGTGGAAACGCAAATCAATCGTCGACCGCTCAGCTATGTTGAGGATGATCTAGAATTACCGACCTTGACTCCAGCGACCTTCTTATATCAACGCGTGTCTCACTTGCCGGAAGAGCAACCATGGACAATCAGTGAACAAGATATTCGGAAAAGAGCGAAATTCCTCAAATCGTGCAAACATGGGTTGTGGCGTAGATGGCAACGAGAATATCTAACTGCACTAAGGGAAAGACACAATCTAACACACAAAGTGAGCAAATTTCAACCGAAGGAAGGCGATGTGGTCATTGTAAAAGCAGACTCCAAGAATCGGGGAACTTGGCCCTTAGCAGTGGTTGCTAAAACCTTTGTTGGTAAAGATGGAGTTATTCGAGGCGTTCAGCTCAGGACTGGAAAAGGAACAATAGAAAGACCAGTTCAACTGTTGTTATATCCACTTGAACTAGCGTGTGATGTCAAGCCAAACACGAGCGGAGTGAGTCTAAACCCAAAAGCACCGGAATTTCGACCCAAGAGAGCTGCAGCAGCTATAGCAGATGCCCGGATTAAACAGATTCAAGGGATAGAAGAAGAAGAGATATAAACATTTACTTAACATTTATCATTAACGCGAGCATTGGACTCTTGTTGACGTTAACATTATTAGCTATTAGTGATAATTAACATTACATATCGAACGTTGTTAGATCATAGAACAATAGTTATAACATATGCATCTATAGTCAAGAATGCATATGGGGGGAGTGTGTTGGTAACTTGCGTGGGCCCACCCTAAAATCGGGTTAACTTTTGGGCGGGAAGCACATGTTTAGAGAAGTAAAAAAAAACGAATGTGGATGTGAGTCGAAGCGAGTGGCTATCGAATTTATGTGATTAAATGGTTATTGTATTTGTTATCTGTTGTGGAAAATTATTGCGGAGGCAGTGAAAGGTAATTTTCTACACTCCTTTGAGCATAAATACAAATAAATTTTTGAATACGGTTTTCCCAGATCATCTTTGTAATCCTTCAAAGAAAAGGCTTGGGTTGTCCCAGGAAGATACTTCACCATTGTGTTATCAGGGTAGAGTAATGAATACTCAATGGTTTGATTAAATGCGCGGAAAAGTTGTTATGTTTTGTCAGGGCCTCTTCAAGCAATCTAGGAGCATTGATACATTCATCAACCACAACAGGAAGACTTCTCCCCTTTAACATCTTTAGTGTGCAATCTATTTTATTGTACTCCTTGATACCAACTTGAATTTTTACTTTTTCAGATGATTATTTTTGTTTGCTTTGCCTTTGGTTTTCTTTTTTGACGGCAATGTTGACACTCTAGTTGTTGCTTTTCGTTTCCGAAATTCTTCATATGTTAAGGTACGGTCAGATTCAGATTCTGATTTTACTGGAAGGGTTGTGTCTTCAGATAAAACTAAAATAAAGTATAAGTAAATAAGACGAATATATTTGTTATTTAAATTCATTAACTGCAAGCGATTACATGAGTGAAGAGTTCAGTTCTATTCTTAATGAAATATTCACTTGTATTATAATGTACTACAGAATTTTGTACCCTCAGAATTCCAATAGTTTGGGGGGACTTTCTGCTCAATAGTCTTCTTCCGCATTTCGGGCAATAATTGCTGTCATCTGGATAAGGCCCACCACAGTCAGCACAGGATTTCATTTGAATTAATGCTTTCTTTCCAAAGAGAATATCAATAAAATGAAAAATTTTGCGGTGCTGATTTCTCGAGTCGCTCCTCGTGTTTTATATATTTTTCTGTAACACCCCCCTGTAACGTAGGGGTAATGATTCGGGTGTTTTCAGGGGGATGGCTAATTTTTTTTTTATCTAATGGGAAGCTTTTCAAAGTGATTGTGCTTCTGTTCAAAGTGGAAGCTCACGAAGAAGACACATGTTTCTACAGAGAAGGCGCGCATTTCCACGGAGAAGAGGTGCCCCGAAAGGGTCATCGTGTCATATTTAGCTAAAGAGTTTCCATGTTTCCATGGAGAAACGGCGTGTTTATGTTTAGCAGTCGCATAGTTGTACGAAAAAACGTCACGTTTGTGTAAAGATGACTGATTTCTACTGAGCAGAAGCACATTTTGACAGAGAAGATGCGTGTTTCTACAGAGAAGTCGTGACCCTTGTGGGCCACCGTAGGCAATTGACCTAATCCTTGCAGAACTGAATAGGCGATTTGATGAAAGGTCATATGCACCTCTTCAGCACATAGAAGACGTTATCCTAAATGCTGCTAACAGGGATCCATGTGATATAAGCGATGACTTCAAAGAAAAATACAACAAGGAAATCGATTTTGATCAAGTAAACATTGAGCTTAAATTTCCTCCTGGTATAATCAAGCAATGTCTACCAGAGGTTAGACGTGTGACTACAATTGATACCGTGATATCCGCAGTGACACAAGGGCAAAATGGCGCATTTGTTGTACCGAATCTCGCTCGTCTACTACAAATCTACCTGCTGGCTCCAATGAGTGCCGCGTCTGCTGAAAGGTCTTTTTCAGTTCAACAACGCATCAAAAATTATCTGAGGAGCACCATGACACAGAAAAGATACAATAATCTTCTTATGCTTAATATTCACAAACAAAGAATAGATAACGTCGATCTTAGGGACCTTGCTAAGGCATTTGCAGAAAAAAATGACAGAAGAATAAGATTTTTTGGCAAATTCCACTGAACTAAACAACTGCCACAAACATCAATCCTCGTCGTGCTTTTACTGCGTTACCGAATACAGATCTTATATGGGATTTTATATTATAAGTTATAACATTCAGAGTTCCAAAATTTTCTTGTTAAAGTTCATGTTAAAATTTTAAACTCTCATTATATGATGAGAGAGCATACAACATGGTCCGCGCACCATGCGGCTATAATACTCACAATAATATATGACATTTATATTAATATTAATATTATCATATTAAAAGTAACAATACTTTTTGAAAATACTACGAATTTGCTGTTTTAATGTAGCTTGCATTACAAATGTAAAATACAAACACAAACTAAATTCATATTTTTAAGATAACACAAGAATTGCGCTGTTTAGCAACCGAAAATGAATCAACCTGAGGGTGCCTTTTTTCTATGAAGAAGTGCCCCTGAAAGCATGTGCCCCCCCCCCAACTTTAACTTGCTTCCTACGCCACTGCATACATATATAGTAAAGTATATGTTGTATGAGTTTTTCCCCTTTTGTAGGTTTTAACTATGGCTACCAAGTCATGCAGAGACGGGAATCTCCAAATGTACCATTTTCCATTTTTCTAACAAGATTTGTAACAGGTTTGTGTTTCGGTTTCGTCATATTTTGCTGTTATTGTATTGTCAAAAACAATTAACTTTCCTTTCAGCACCTCGAGTTATAATATATGACAATGCATGTAATCTGCATAGCTACTGCCTCAACAGAGATCCTGCGTACTTCAAGGACACAACTTTTTTGGTTGACCGGTTTCATTGGGGAAACCATAAAGGTATTGTTATCGAGTGACTATTTTTTTCAGAAGGAGTTAAAGGCGTATTAAAACAAGGCCGATATGTTGGCCCAACATTTTTTAGTTCAAACAAACAACATGTCAGGGCGGGTTTCAATTTCATAAAGTCATAACTAATTTTCTCTTGTAATTACAGTTATGCTTGAAAATTTAGAACCGTACATTCTTTATATATATAGGTTGTTCTGGTGGCTATAACCTTAATATATACCCCCAACTGACAGTCATTAATAGTCAAGTGAACGAACAAGCAAATTCAATCATTCAAAGATATCGTGCCCAGTTGTCTTTCATGACCAAAGAAAATTTCATGAATCATTGTCGATTTGTACTGTGGTTTATGAACAAGAAAGCTTCAAAAAGAAATAATGCCTCAGACGCCTAATCCAAACACATCATTAAAAAGAACTTTGTCTCAGAATTGTGAAATTTAAATCTTTCAAGTGTAATGAACTTGGCAGACATTTTGAAACCTGGTTGTTATAAGTGTTTTCCGTTATTAACGTACTGGTAGTACCATACATTTTCCTAGAAGTTATCTGAGATTTTATTGTTTCCTAAAATTTGTCATTTGCCGTTCCCAAAGTATGAAAACAAACACGTCCTTGCACCGTGAAGTGAAGATATATATAGACACATGTCATCAGTTGGTGAAACGTGTAAATAAGAACAAAAAATTTATCTGATAATGAGAGAATTATCACCACCTATCGATCGAAACATACATCATTAACATTCGTAATGCCGTTCTGCTCACCCAGAACCAAGTTGGTTAAACATGAACAAAATTTGTCTCTATTTAACCAAACTGGGTAGTGGGAGAATTATCACCACCTATCGATCGAAATATGCATCATTAACCCTCCTAATGCTGTTCTGGTAAACAAGAAATTGTCTCCATTTTGTTTAATTTTGTTACTTTTTCTATCCATAGATGGTGATAATTCTCCCAGTTTGGTTAAATAGAGACAAATTTTCTTCATGTTTAACCAACTCGGTTCTCAGTTACCAGAACGGCATTACGAATGTTAATGATGCATGTTTCGATCGATCGGTGGTGATAATTCTCCCATTACCCAGTTTGGTTAAATAGAGGATGTGAATCAGTGGTACATTGGGCGAAACATCCAGAGAAATTATCTCTGTATTGTACAGCTCAGTGCCAGGCGCACTGCAGTGCTGTACAATACGACGTTTCAATGCATCCGCCATTAGTAGAATCTGGAGATAACCTGAAAGGCACGGTTTAGTTTAAAGCCAGTTTTCCACTAGGCGGAATTTTTCAACCGAACAAAATTTTTCGTCCGATATTCTTTTCAATTGTGAGTATTCCACCGTAGCAGATTCCCTTCACCGGTCACAATTGAAAAGTAAATCAAGCGAAAAATTTCGTTCAATCGAAAAATTCCGCCTTGTGGAAAACCGTTGTTTAAGTTTACTTTAAACTATAGCTACTGTTCTAATTTCCAAACATGAACTTGTGAAACAAGAATAGATATCCTCCACAGACCAATTACTATTAATGCCATTTAGAACTTCGTCCTCGGATATCGTGTGAAGAAACACGTCAAGATCATCGCCAATCAGAAACTATACATTGAAACAGAGACATGCAACAATCATAAGAAATCAAGCTACACTTTATGTGAACTTTTTCAGGTACCTGAATATTCTTTTGGTAATATTCCTCTTTCGAACAACCTTGATGCAGCATAAGCATTTTAGAAATTGGATATTCGTCCTCCATTTCCGAAATCACCGTAGCAATGGCTCGAAAGAAGCAATTTCCATCTGGTGTTACTTTTCCTGGCTCCAAACCATTCTTCAAAACATTTTTTTGAATCTGGCAACGCATACTATAAAGTATAAAAGAACAGTTTGGTATAGGTCGAATTCCAAAAGAATTCCAAAGCCAATACGTTTTCATACTTTCTATCAACATCCATTGTGTAAGTGGTATTCTGTTCCTTAATTGGTTTCTCATACCCTGGTTTCAAAGGACGTCTGCCTTCCACTTCTTTCACACACGATACAAAATTTAGCCAATTTTTCACAGTTTTCAGG